TTACAGTGTGGAGGTCAGAAATCCAAATGGGTCTCACTGTGCTAAAATCAAGGCATTGGTTGGGTATGTAACAGAAAAGAGAGAAGTATAGAGACAAGAGAAAGGCAAAAGACAGAATTTATTTTAGAAATGTTAAGCTTAAGAACCGTCAGCCAAAAACATTACAGATGACCAGTAGGCAATTAGAAATGTATCCAAATTTAAGAAACAGATCTGAGCAAGAGCCAGAGCTGTACAAGTCATTTTGTTTGTTTTGTATAACAGTGGTTTTTAAATTGGCAGGCCAGGGTAATCATTGATGCTGTTGAAATTGTGATTAAAGCTATGTACTATCTCCCGTGAAGAAAATACACATACAGCTAAAAAGTCACATTTGAATACAATTTGGGGGATTCACAATCCCTTCCAAGAGGTTGATAAAGCTGAGATTAAGCATTTTTGGTCTAAAGGACAAAGATCCTCTTCTGTAGATTTTTAGGTCCTATGATTTATAGATGCATCAAGATACCTTTTTATTGCAAATTAGTTACTTGAGTGCTAGTTTAGTGGAGTTACAGCATCCTCTCTCAAGTAAACCGTAAATTATTACACTTCCAAGGGAACAAAAATATGTCAAATAATAATCATGTGTTGCTTAACAATGGGTATACATTCTGAGAAGTACATTGTTGGGCGATTTCGTTGTGTGAACAGCATAGTGTGTATTTACACAAACCTAGATACTGTAGCCTACTACACACCTAGGCTGTAGGTGTAGCCTCTTGTTCCTAGGCTATAAACTTAACAGCATGTTAATGTGCTGTAGGTACTTGTAGCACAATGGTAATTAATTGTGTATCTAAACGTATCTAAACACAGAAAAGGTACAATAAAAATATAGCACTATAATCTTACGGGAGTACTGTTGTATATGGGGGTCCATTGTTGACCTAAATATGGTTATGCAGCACATGACTGTATTTCAAAAATGAAACCAGTATAACATCAATTATTAATAGAATTCCATAGTAGTAAATACTGTGCCATAGTGCTTGGTAACTTTTTTCCCAGTTACTTAGTCGAATGGAATACATATTATGCTTAACATATTAGTTGGTAACAATAAGGATAGGGGACAGATAGAATTTTAATTTGTAAACATCATGAACAAATACTATTTTACCTCATACTAACAAAATTGAACTGGTTAATCAAAGTATTATAAGTTTGTGAAAATATTTGGTGCATTATAATGCATGTGTAAGTCTGGAGTACAGTATCGTGGTGACGTTATCTGGCTTCTTGGTATATTCTGGTCTCTCCCTGGAGTCTGTATGTTCTTTAAGGACCTTAACAATTAAACATCTTAAGTGTTTTAAACCTGATTTTTCCATATAATGGACACAAAGAGAAAACAAGGAGAAAACATTTGATAAAATCTCCAGACTGTGTCTTCCTTGGGCATTCTACTTTTCTAACAGTTCGGAGGGTATACCGTAGGCTTGGTAATCACAAAGCAAGAGTGTTCTGCAGGGGAGAAAAGAACTAGAAGAGGAAGAAAGGCCATGGACACTTTGCATTTTAGACAGTTAAAACTATTAGGGCTTGTTAAAATTTTCTATAATTAGACCCAAAATTTGATAAGACTATTTTACCAATATGCAAATTTGAAAATACTGCCATAATATACATTTGTCTGCAAAATGTAGTAAAGTATTACTTTAGAGTTATTCTTGCTCATATATAATACAGTACTGATATTTCAAAAGAAACTACATGGATCAGTACAATTAAGGCAAAATTTGTTGTGTTTCGTTATCTTCTTTTGCCTTTACCTTTATTGAAATACCAGTTGAAATTTTTAAAAAATGAAGCTAAAGGTGTATATTGTGTTTGTTTATAGTAGAGGTACTTACTCCAGCCTATCCTGAAAGAAGGATTCCAATTTGCAGTCTACACTAACGCAGCCTTAAGCACCCTTACCTCCTCCTCTGACCACTTCTTTGTGTTGACAATTGGCAAGAATTGGGCCCAGATAAGAATCAGAGCCTCTGAATAACTGAATAATTAAAAAGCTTAAAATAGTTACCTGTAAAGCTAAAACCTTTTAGAGCTTCTATATAAAAGTTATTGTGACCCCAATCATAGAGAATTATGGTTTACCATGTAAATTTGATTATTTCTCGGGTCCTAACTGGCTTTGAATTACCAGGATGGCACGTTCTTTAATTTCCAATGCTTTGTTATCATAATAATAATAATTAATACTTATATGGGGTATATTGTGTGTCAGGCCTCGTTCACATTTATTAAAGGTGAGTGCTGTCGCTTCACAGATGAGACCGAGACGTAATGACGTAGTAACTTGCTCAGGGTCACACAGCTAATAAGTTGCTGAGCCAAGATCCAACTTATGAAAGTTTGACTCTAGAATCCTCACTCTTAACCACAATACACTGCAGCTTTAAAAGTATATTCTCTGACAAAAGACTTGTGTCCAGAGTATATAATTTCTAAAAATCAATAATAAAAAGACAGCATGATAAAAATGGTCAAAAGACTTGAAAAAAGATAAATAAGTGGCCAGTAAGCACATGAAAAGATGTTCATCATCGTGAGTCATCAGGCAAATAGACATTTAAACCACAGTGAGATACCACTGTATATTCACTACAATAAGTAAAATTAAAAAGACTAAAAACACCACATATTGGTGAGGGATGTGGAAGACCTGAAACTATCATACATTACTGATGGGAATGTGTAACAGTACAACCACTTTGGAAAAGAGTTTGTTAGTTTCTGATATAGTTTAACATGCATCTATCTTGTAACCCATTAATTCCATTCCTAGGTGATTAAGAGAAATGAAAACATGTTTACAAAAAAACTTTTACAAGAATGTTTATAACAGTTTTGGTCATAATAGCCAACAACTGGAACAATCCAAGTGTCCATCAATGTAAGAGAGAATAAATAAATTGTGATATATTTATTCAGTTAGAGTACTACTTAATTAAAGAAAAAGAAGAAAGAAAGAAATTCTGGTATCCAAAACAACATGAGAGAGAGAAGTCAGACAAAATGGGTACAAGTGGTAATTCTGTTTGATTCCATTTATATGAAGGCCCAAAATAGGCAAAACTGATCTCTATGTTCAGCATAAGGGAATTTTCTAGAGTGATGAAAAGGTTCCATGTTTTGATTTTTCATGTTGGTTATACATGTGTCTTTGTTCGTTCGGGCAGCTATAGCAAAATACCATAAACTGGCTAGCTTATAGACAACAAAAATTTATAGGCTGGGAAGTCCAAGATAAGGTGCCAACAGATGAAGTGTCTTTTGAAGGCCTATTTCCTGGCTGATAGATGGTGCTTTCTAGCTGTGTCTTCACATGGTGGAAGGGTGAGTTAGAATTTCTGGGGTCCTTTTTTTATAAAGGCACTAAAAATGTCCTAAGCATCACCTAAAAATCCCACCTCCCAATACCATCACCTTGGAGGTTAGGATTTCAACATATGAGTTTTTGAGGGGACACAAACATTTGGATCATAGCAACAAATGTATTACATTTGTCAGAATTTGTTCAATTCTGTATGTTTAAAATCGATGCTTTATTGTACATATAATGTTATTGTATGTAAAGTATACCTCAATAAACATAAATATATAAAGTTAAAGCAGGGAAGAGCTTTCAGATAAGCACAATAACAACAGAAGTAGCAATTGGTAACTTAAAGCAGACATATGTTAAGAAGCACAGAATTGTTACATAGAACCTCAATTGATATTCATACTAACCAAGGCATGGTTAAGTTATATTCAGTATAATTTTCTAAGAAGTCAGCAAGGTATACTACTTTTAGAAAGGATTTATTAATTTTATTATATTAAAAGTTTTCAGAACTAAAATGCCTAAGAGGTCAGTTGTGTAGGACATTTAGTATATTGAACATTTTCTAGATTTTATGTAAAGAAGAGTTGGAAATATTGGGAAATGATTCTGAAATGGAACTAGAATATAGTTTCTTTTAAGAATAGAGTCTGCCAGAAAAAAGGTATGAAAGGTTTCAATAGACCAATTTGCCTTTTAATTAATTTAAACAGAACATTTGTCTAAGTGGTTTAGATTGCCAGTTGGTAGAAGAAATAAAAAAATGTGGCATCTAAGCTAAGCGTGTTTGTTTCAGCATTTTATTTATAATGTATTCCAGAACTGTTAAGAAACTTTGAGATGCCACAATTAAATGTGCTAAAATTACAGCAGTAATTTGTCCTGGCTATAATATTGAAGCAAAAGTACATACATAGACAAATTTGATGGTAACCTATGTAGTTTGACAGTATTTGTCGGGGGGAATCCTTTTTTTTATTTTTATTTTTTTTCCCAGACAGAGTCTCACTCTGTTGCCCGGGCTAGAGTGAGTGCCGTGGCGTGAGCCTAGCTCACAGCAACCTCAAACTCCTGGGCTCAAGCGATCCTACTGCCTCAGCCTCCCGAGTAGCTGGGACTACAGGCATGCACCACCATGCCCGGCTAATTTTTTCTATATATTTTTAGTTGTCCGATTAATTTCTTTCTAATTTTAGTAGAGACGGGGTCTCGCTCTTGCTCAGGCTGGTCTCCAACTCCTGAGCTCAAACAATCCACCCGCCGCGGTCTCCCAGAGTGCTGGGATTACAGGCGTGAGCCACCGTGCCCGGCCTGTCGCTGGGATCCTTTACAACTTGTTCCATGGCAGTTAGATGTGCTTGAACTACTGAAATGATGAATTGAAATAAGAGGTCTGTAGTCTTTATGAGGTTAGTCTTCAAAATAAAGGATAACTTACAAAGTTAGTTAGTTTGTGGTTTTTGACCTCTTTCAAGTAGGTTACTTTCTGTGGACTGTCATGGAGGTAATAAATACTTTATTCACCACACATTAACTAATGTGGTCTTTGGTTTCTCAAATAAGACTGACAGCTTGGCTGTTTTTTGTTTATGGAAAAGCTAATTCCTTATCTTTGCATCTATTTTAGTAATAGTTATGCACGAGTGCGAGCCGTGGTGATGACCCGAGATGACTCAAGTGGTGGATGGTTACCACTTGGAGGAAGTGGACTAAGCAGCGTCACTGTCTTCAAAGTCCCTCATCAGGAAGAGAATGGCTGTGCTGACTTTTTTATCCGTGGAGAGCGACTCAGGGACAAAATGGTAATGAATTATGTATCTATGACTATAATATTAGAATATTTTCTTCAAAACGAATTATGATTCTGCAAAACTAAAATTATGATTAGTATACTGGTACTTATGAGAATTATATTTGCTCATGAATCAATGATTAAGTTTCTAGAGCTGTTTTTATGTTAAAGACAGTGAAATATGACATTTTCCTTTTTACTGGGACTGACATTAATCTGTATTTGTTGGAGGTGGGGTGCTGCTTTTCCCTTTAGGTTTAATGCAGGCACATTCACAGATAGTCCCCTTAGTTATTAAACTAGTTACATCCTGCCTTCCCTTCTCCTCACTATTCTCTAGACCAGAGATTGACAAACTATAATCCACAGGACAAATTCAGGCCTGCCACCTGTTTTTATATGGCCTGTGAGCTAAGAATGTTTTTTATATTTTTAAATGGTTGAAAAAAAAATCAAAGAATAATAATTTTGTGAAACATAAGGAGTATATAAAGTTCAAATTTCAGTATCTGCAAATTAAGTTTTATTGGAACATAGCCAAAGTCATTCCCCATATTAATTTACTTACTCTAGGCTCATAAAACTACCTGGTGCCCAGTGTAATTTTTAACACTATTATCTTCCACTCAGATGACTCTTTTCTTACATGTATGTATTTTAAAATTTCAGTCTGACCTTTGATAGTGTTAGTTATTTGCTCTCTTTTAATTAGTCTGGAAAGCTCTTTCACCTTCTTTGTTTCATTTGTGAGCCAAAAACAATTATATCAGGAAAAGCTGAGATATGTTAGTGTCATTTCTACATTAAGGAAAAGGAGAACATACACTTAGAAGCAACATAAAAATAAAGTGTCAAAAATTTCTAAGACCCTTGGAAAGAACTAGAATTCTCTTTAAATATATATTTGTGAACCACTTTATTTAGCACCTGTGTTATTTCTATTGGAAATGTGTTTTAAGTTCCAAATAATTCTTTCATATGTGAACATTTTGAATACAACCTACTTTTGGTTTTGGATCTTGGTTTCTTGATATTTTTTTACCACTCAATCATTTCAGTCATTTAGAAAGTTGCTTAACTTGACTGTATCCCAATTTCTTCTTCAGTTAAAGGGAGTTATCCCAAATCAACTTGAAAGCCTTTCAACTCTGTTTTATGAGGTTATGATTCACCTGTGTTACACCTTGTATAATGTTTCTCAATTATCTGGAATGTGCTTTTAGTATTGTAGGAAACCCCAGTTGAAGTTAGAAGTGAATATATAATAATAAATTTAATATGTCTCTTTTAAAAGTTTAAATATTTAAAGATGGTTCTGGCCTTGAGTAAAATGGTATCTGGCATATGCTAATACTTTTTTGAGCTGGGAGACATCTAAGAAAGGTCCTATGGTGGCCTGTCCTAGAGTATAATGCTTCTAGTCTGAGCTAATGATAACTGGAGATTGTTGTTAGAGAAGAAGTTGTAAATTTTAGAAACTGAATAAAAGAGTGGAGATCTAAGTCGTCATTTTATAGTGAAACTTGTTTTAAGTAAGAATAGAAAAGTTGAAGAAAGAAGTTAAATATAGAGTAAGAGTTGGAGAAAAAAAAGCTTGCAAGAAATACAAGAACAAGGAACAGATGACTAGATGTGAAATAAAGAAAAAAAATCAGTCAAACAGAATATTGGATATAATGAAGATGAACAGTGATAATAAGGGACTAAATCTATATAACTGGGAGTAAGGCTGATCAGAAATAGCTCAGTTTGGTAGATTAGGTGGTTGTTCAGGGTGTGGCTTTAACATAAAGCTAGTGAAAATCAACCTGGAATTCAAACAGAACACAAATTTATTCCCTATGACAGGGCTTAAAAATAAACAGCACTTAACCTAGGCCCAGGGTGGAGAATCATGGTAGACTAACAAGAAAATAGATTCTTCTGCTAGAAGTACTGACCAAGAATCAGAACATCTGTTGTTTCACCTAACCATTTCTCTTTGAGGAAGCTTGTTGTTTGTGAAATAGCGATAATTCCTTTCAGTTGGAGAGTTGCCATTATTTCTTACAGGAGTTAGCTATAGTAAAGCATTCTAGGTTATGGGGACTTGTATGATCAAGGGCAGAGGCAGTTACTCATGGCTATAAATTAAAATAGCAAAGTCTCGTGGAGTCTAAAGACAAATGATACAGTGATATTGAAATAAGCAGATTAATTAGCACCTTCTGACCAAGACTGGTTCTGAAGAGCCCAATAATAGAATTGAAGTATACACATACTCTTTTTCATTATTACTGCATTTTTGGGATCATTAATGTCCATTTCTGTAGATATTTTTATTGATTGGTTTTATTTTAATCCATTTTTCTGGGTTCTAGTTTCTTGAATTTTTTTTTTAAAGAAGTACTCTGTGATTAGCAAGTCTATAAATCTATAAGATTCCTCCTAAATTAATGATTGCTTTTCAAAGCCTTCTCAATGAATAAACAGTGCGTTTTAATAGGATTTTCTGTGTAATAGTTAATTATACAAAAGATACTTGCTAAACACTGTTTTGTACCTTTTTTTCCTGTTGGTCACATATTAGAATCCACTGCTTTAGATGAATTCTAGAAGTGAGATCCTTGTCCCTCATACCATGAGTGAAACCTTTACCCTTTGAGAAAGAATAAATACTGTAGTAAGAAGAGGAGCATATGGTCACTTGTGTGGCTGTTAAATACTAGATAATATTCTAAAGAGTGTTCGTAAGTTAGAATATGGTAATAGTAGTGAAGAAGGAAAAAGATGGCTTTTCTCAATGATGAGAGAACCACTTGGGCAGAAGACTTTTCCAGCCTTTGATTTACAATTACTTACGCTAAAAATAGGTCTTGTTACACTTCCCAAAGGTTATATTTCACTCTTACAAGAAAAGGGGAACAAATAAAGAGCAGCCTGCCCAGGACTTTTTCAAGAAGACATCATTTCGTGTAATTGGATCAGTGCTCATTCTTTCATTCACTCAAAATGATTAGAAATGATTATTTCCTGTGTTGCTTACCTATAACTTACTTTGCTTTATGATGCCTAAAAAGGTAGAGTTTATTTTCTGTTTTATCCTTTTGATACTCTAAATTAGAGCTTCTCAGCCTGTGTGCCAGGAGTAGGTTAAAGTAGCTGTAGCCTCCAGACTGCCTGCCTTATAAATGTTACTTCTCTCTATGTGCCCAAGGAGAAAAGTGTTGGAAAGCACTGCTCTACATAATTGGCTTTCATACTTTATTGATGATTGAGAAAAAATTTGAAAGAAACACTAGGCTTCGGTGTTGTAGCCTGAGAAAATGAATGTACTACCTTTCTCGCAGACATTTGGGGATGGAATTATCTTTATCAAGAACAGATTCTTAGAGCCTTTCTTGATGTATATAAACTGTATCCTCCATTTTATTCTAAATCTTTACAGCCTTAATTCAGCTGTTGATTTGTGTAGGTAATTTTTACATAGAGCTCCACATTCTCCATGATACAAACTTTCTCTTTTACATTTAGTTTTTATTAGATACAGTGGTGGTTCTTTGTGAGGACACTGATATCTTACAGATGTTTTATCAAAATAGGTTGTTATTTGACCATTTTTAGTTGAATTGTATGTGATATGTAAATTTAAAACACTGGATTATACACTTTTAGATTCTTTGTAAGTACTCGAATTAATGGTCAAGAATGTAATAACATAAAAAGTTTGCTAAAATATCTATTTACTACTAAGCACAGTTTTTAATTACCATGGGGATCTAAAATCGCTTTTTTAAAAAGTTTATAAACTTTTTAAAGTGGACAACAAAATAATGTAAATTTGCTAATTTTATTAAAATTTGCTAAAGTTATGCTTTTTACAGTATATTATGTGCTAAGATATGATAAAAGATGGAATAGGCTAAGTAGAAGGATATAGTTAGAACTCCTTTAAAACACCTGAATTACTGAAGATGCTCTGTGCAAACAAAAAATGGAAGGTTATAAAACAGCTATCATTATAAACTTAGAGTGACAAAGGTAATATTGAAATGGAGAAATGAAAAGCAAGAAATAGTTCCAGTTTAGGAAGTTGCCAAAGAGATTAAGGAATTGTTTTTAGGATTAATAAGTAATTAGGTTGTGGATAAGTTTTTTTACATAGAAATGAAAGTGCCTTTAAAATGAATGGGTCTATTGTTTAAAAAGCAAACATTTTTAAAATGGAGTTTCTTTCCTGTCATTGGAGCTTAGAACAAAATTAGAATATTTGTTTTCTAGGAAGAAAATAAAGTAGTTATAATATATCAGTAGCTTTATTAAAAATGAGACCCCCTTTCTATCATGGGGAAATCTTAAAAGACCAGGGACACATCTTTCTGCCTTGGGTTGAACTTTTATATAAAAGTACAGAACAAGAATTTCCTGCTAAGCTTTTCCACTGTGCCTCTGAATTATTCCATTGTGAAACCTCAATCCTTCTGTAGAAGTGCTCCTCTACTAAAAGCTAATTGCCTTAACTAGCTTTTCTTTAGGATTCAGCCTTCCTAGCCATTTTGTCTCTTGAAAGATACTAGGTTCCTTATAAAAAAATAAAATAGAAGATACTAGGTTCTCTTATTCACTGTAAGACCACAGAGTTAGAAATAGAGATAGTGCAGCATTTTTATTGTTCCTTATTCCTCTTACAAGTTATTACTCTATCACCCACATACATAAATTCCATTATTGACTCTATGTACCATTCAGATCACCATCTTCCAGGTTTCATTTTCAGCTACTGACCTTAGCAGTTCCTTCCCGTAGTCAGCTTTTCCACATCTGAGCCTCATCATCATTCTTGGCTGCTTTTCTTTGCAGTCTTGACCTTCTGTTCTTCAGTTCAGCAAGCCACTTTCCTGGATCTGGTTGTTACCCAGAACTGTTCCATTTGAGGAATTTTATAATTTCCTGTCATTTATTTTTTATTCTCTTCGTGCTGCTATTTGATTTCATGTCTTCTCTATTACTTTGTGCCCCCAATTTTCTCCT